CCACGCATATGGTTTAATTAGAATTACCTGTTAACCTAACCCCATGCTTATCTTTGGATTATAGAAGAAGCAGCGGTATCTGGAGAGAACTAACACAGGCACAGAAAGACCCCAAACTGGTTTTAAACACAGCCTTCTTGCTGTGAGACAACAGTGTTAATCACCACACCACCGTGCCTCCTCTATCACATATCATTTTTGATATTTCTAATTTAAATCTTGGACTCGGTAAACATTCTCTTATACCTGTGTGTGCTGCAGGGATTTCTAAAATGCTGGCTACAGACCAGCTGGCTGATTAGATAAAGTTTTTCTGTGCTCTCATCAAAGTATACAAATACAGATGTGTTATATACACTGATATGAAATAGATCATTATTTTTCTTTTTTTTACATGCACAGTGAACTTTGGCATACAGACAACATCTATTGTGAGTAGTTTATAAAGATTATGTACCTTAAAAAAAAAAGAAGCTGAAATAAGCGGTCTAAACAAACAGCCAATAGTTACTGTAGTGCCCCTATTAGATTTGTGCACTCATATTGATCGTAGAATGGGTTTATTAGGATTAAAGTATGAGTGTGTTTATGTTTACTTGGTTTAGTCAGATTGTATTTGCCTGTAATTGTGACATAAATTAAGACTAGACCAGACAGCAGTGGTGAGACCTTTATGTTACTCATGTCTAATCAAACACACCATCGATGGTATGTTTGATGGTACAGAGTGACTTGCTGCTATTGTTTCTTTTCATAAACGAAATATTCTCGACCCTTTGTGTAAAACGCGCACTTGTAACAGTTAAATAGTTTATCATTTGCTGTATTTTTCTCGCTGTTTTTTTTTTTAAATTATTATTAATTTTACCCATCAGTGCCAGTTGAGTGTGAGAAAATGCAGATGATACCTTAATGCCTTTTCAAATGTTTAAGCTTTTTGTCTTTAGCCGCGTCACCTCATTGTTTTTTTTCGAAATAAGGAAAAATAGTACAACACGGACATTTACTATTACGCAATAAAAAGATCTGATCAAAGACGAGCTTTCAAGCAGTGGTGTGGTGGCCGTGTGTAGATGCAAAACTATTGAAAATAGTGGATGTAACAAAGTTAGCCAATCGAAAAAAGCGATGAATTTTTTTCTCTCCACCTCCCAGCTGTAATCCTTATTATGAACGTAACTTATCCTAAAAGAAAGATATTTATTTATTTAAATTTTGCTGTTTGAAATCGACGGAAACACGTCGTAACACGGGACAAACGCCACACGTAGGTTATATAATCCAGCCCAGGGACTGCGGAGCAATTACAGCTCTGAGGCAGCTACTTGTCATTCAGACCATAAATAAAAATGATAATTTATGCACTTTATTTTAATATTTAGAAACCGAACACTCCCCCCTAAATCATTTTATTTTCGAGCCACAGGATGAAGGATTTTGTTCTGTGCGGGAGTTTTTTCATTCCGCTTGCGTACCGCATTTACAGATGATCCCCGACTGGGACAGTTGGCGAGCGTTGAAAACACCGGGCTTTGCGCTAAATGCGCACAGTAGTAGATTTTATGCATCAGTTAGTAAACATTTTAAACCAGAGTATGAACAAGAAATCGTTGCTAAACTTCCAAACACCGTTAATATGTGCATAGATTGCGCAAAAAAAATACACAGCACGTGGAAATTTCTTCCCTGTTGTGGCACATTTGCACCCAGCAGTCATATTAATACTCGAGGAAACAGAAGCGTTCTTTTCCAGCAGATGAACTTCCTCACTTTCTGTCAGTCGGCAGTCAGTGACAGCGGCCTGTAAAAGCACCTCGACATGCCGTCGCTTAAAGACGCGCTTGAATCCGGACTGGACTTCATTGAATTTCTGGGAGACAGGGTATCCGGCATCAGCAAAAAGGAACTTAAAGACATCTACAACTCCGAATTCAGGGGCAGGTAGGCTGCATTTAAACACCGTGTGTCCCACGCACCCGGTCTGGTTTGTGTCCAACAGCCTGTTTCTCCTGTGTTCGCAGAGAAGGAATAAAAGATCCCAACTTTTACAAAGTTTTCCTTGCGCTTGTGAAATTCAACAAAGTCCAAATAAGGCAGGGACAAGTCTACATTAATGCCAGACCTCAGGTAAGATATATAGTCATGTGAGTACAAGTTTCCCTGTGCCATATATTAGTCAGTGCTATGATGGGATGAGTTTGTGTATGTTTTGTTCCCATTCCCGGAAAATGGAGAATCAGAACAGGGAACTGTGCTGTTATTTTTGTAGTTTCGCGTGTACTGTGACCAATGGAGGAGGCCCCGGGCCCCTCAGCCACAGGATCTGGGCTCTGGCCCTCAGACACCAGCTGGGACACCTGCTGGCTCCTCCACCCCTGTGGCACCTGTGCTGACCCCAAAGAAAAAACTTGCATCAGAAATCCTTCGCAAGTTGAAGCTGAACAGGTAAAATGCATTTTGAGTTAGTATTACATGTTTCTCTATCCCATCGTTGCTGTAAAGGTTTTTTTTTCTAATTCTCAGACCCGCCCTCATAAATGTGAATTTGCTTTTTCATGTAGGAGCATGATAGAACACGATAAAGCAGGGTGTTGCCGCACAAAAGGCTACATGAGATTAAAACAAGAGAGGAGCAGGGCCTGTTCATTTAGTTGGTTTATATGACGTGAAGATTCGGGAGAAACGTCATGTTGAGCATTGCATAAAAAGTTCCACCTGTCCATTTTCTTCCACTTATCCAATTCAGGCTTATCCGAATTGGATAAGTGGCAGCTGGAGCGTATCCCAGCTGCCATAGAGTGAGAGGCAAGGTACACCCTGGGCAGGTTCCCAGTCTGTCAGAGGGCTAACACAGAGGGACAGACAAGTATTTGCATGCACATTCACACTCACACCTATGGGTAATTTAAAATCACCAGTTAAACTAACTCCACTAAATCCATGTCTTTGGACTGTGGGAGGAAGAGCCCATGCAGACACGGGGAGAACATGCAAACTCCACAAGGAGAGGCCCTGACCATATAGTGGACTTTAATCCAGGGCCTTGTAGGAATAGTACTTACGTGTGTGTGTGTGTAATTCTACATGTTCTTCCCATGACTGTGGGTTTTCTTTCATAGACAAAAGACACCCAGGTGTGGATTCTAAACCACTCTTAGGTGTAAGTGGAGCACATATTTTTGCTAGTGTGTCTTTAAATATTGCCAGCTGGCAAATGATAATATATGGGACAGATAAGACTGATTACTAGAGTTTTATATCGGCCAGTGATGGTTAATAAAATATAATTACTCACCAACCATTTTGTTAGCCACACCTTGCTAGACCGCTTTTTGTCTTCGTTTTTAATCGCACATATTCAGCAACTTTAGTCCATGTTGACATGACAGCATTGCACAGTTGCTGCTTATCTCTGATGTGAATCTCCCATTCTACTACATGCCAAAGGTACCCCGTTGGGTTGACATCTGATGACTGTGGACGCTATTTGAGTACCATGAACTCACTGTAATGTTTAAGAAACCAGTTTGAGATGAGTTAAGCTTTATTAAAATAGTGCATTATCCATCTGGAAGCAACCATCACTGTGGTCATAGTGGGAGTGACATGGTCAGCACCAATACTCAGGTAGTATACAGTGGAAATACCCCCAAAGTATCAAGATACCCAAACGAGAAGTAGAACAAAATAAAAATTGGTTTTTTTTCTATTCTCTGGGGTGTCTAATATATAAAAGGGCTATAAAAATTATTTACTGCAAAAGTGGTGAAATTCACAGATATTGTGATATCCTCCATATATTAAAAAAAACACACACAAAATAATGCCAAGCTGAACAGCTTGTGACATACTTTTTATTAATGCAAATTAGCTTGAAGACATGAATATTGTGGCTTGTTGGGAAGCATCCAGTTAGTTCTGATCATGAACACAGATTAGTTTTGCAGGACAAAAATATAGACATATTAAAA